TGGCCTCTCACACTCCACAGCTGGCAGTTCCATGTCTGAACGATTTCCTCATTCAACAGCCTGATTTTGAAGGCAAGGAGAAGGTGGGGAAAGGCAGATGACAGGCACTGCTGCCGGGCATTGAAGATGCCCCAGCTATCATGCTCAGTACTTGCTGCTTTTATTTATGATCCTTATGGCCGACACTCTTGACAGATGAGGAAACTGAGGCACTGAGAGGTTAAGCAACTTTCCCAAGCCCATGCAGCCCAAAGAGGTGACATCTGGCTTTGAAACCAGTTCTACCTGACCCTAAAGCTCACCTCCTTCTCAGCACTCTGCTGCCCTTCTGTGAGCTCTCCAACAGCTCTCAAGCCCTTCCAAGCCCACCCTTGGCTGGCGCCCTGTAACACCCCCAAAGCAAAGCTGGCCGTGTGTGGGCAACCGATGCAGGATTCGAGGCAGTGTCCATGGAGTGGGCTTTGCCTCTTGGGATAAAAACTTCAGGCAAGGGTTGGTAGGGCGTCCTCTGTGGGGAGGGAGAATGGAGCTCCAGGCATAGACATTGCTTAGACAGGGGCTTTTTATCCTGGCTTCCAACAATTACAAGATGGCAGACACCTCAGGATGTGAGCTCACCAAGCGTGGCTCCCCAGAGACATGAGAGCTGATGGGCCCATGGAGGGCAGCTTCCAGAGCTCCCCTCAGCATTTCATTTCAACCAGCTCACATTGATCGAGAACCATGTGTCCAGCGTCATGCTGGGGCGGGGACACAGAGAGCAGATGCCACTGTCTCCATCCAAAGTGAATCCCCTTGCCTCTGCCGAGAGCAGGTGGACCTTCCCACAGCCCTCATCCTGTGCTCTGTCTTTCCTGGGGACACCTCCACCCACCCAGAGACTCAAGACAAAAGCCCAAGGGCATCCTCCTTCTGCCGTTTTGCAAGGCGCTTGTTCCTCCCGATCCCCAAGGCTGCAGGCCCAGCTTGGGGATCTGGGGCTGCTCCCCAGATAGCCTCTTGCCTCCAGTCCTTCCTCATCCCCCTTATTACTCCTCCATGTAATCAGGGGGATAATCCTAAAATACAAGTGGCACTCAAAGCACTGGCAGCTCCACACTGCCGCCACCTCAACATGGCTTCCCAGTTCCTACAGCCCAGAGGGGCCCCCTCCCCATTCCCACCCCCACAGCACTGCCCACCCCGTGCCCTTTTCTACCTCTGTGCCAAGGTTTCTCAACCTCAGCCCTATTGACATTTTGTCCCCAGGTAACTCTGGGTAGGAAGCTGCCATGTGCACTGTAGAATGTTCAACAGCAACCATGGCCTCTACACATCAGATGCTAGGAGCACTTCCCTCCCCCACAACTCTGCCAATTACAAGTACCTCTAGATAGCCCCAAATGCCCACTGCACTGCACCTATGAAGGCCGCTCCTCCTTCCCCTTCTTTCGTGTCCAGCTTCCTCCTCCACATCCTTTAAGATCTGATTCAGCAGCATCATCTCCTGGAAGGCTCCCCTGGCTCACCTGGGCTGGGCTGGGGCAGCTTCTCCAGATCCCCCACTTCCCTGAGCACAGCTCCACCACTGCTCCCATCATGGGGCATTTGGTTAATCTGCTTCTGCGTTGCCCCCACTCTGAAGGTGGGCTCCTCGAATCCCCATCATGGGGCACCGAATCACAACAATGGAACAGTGTGTTCAGAGACCACCCAGGTGAGGGCAATGGGCTCTGATGAGAGGCGGAAGCGGCTCTGTGCAGCTGGGGATGTTGGGGCTAAGCAGGGATACAGAAGCGAGAGAGACAGAGTAGGGCACAGTGCCTTCCAGATAAAGGGCCTTCTGGGGCACAGCCTGAACGAAGGCCACAAAGTATGGACATCCAGGTGAGCTTGGGAAATGGTACGGCCAGAGCCCAGTGTGGGGCTGTGGGAGAGGTCCCAGGATAGGATGCTGGAGCAGAAGGAGGTGTGGGCATGAGGCTCTTGGATGTGTTCTGTAGCCCAAGGTGTGCCGGAAACTGAAAAAAATGTTATGGTCAATAACTTTGGGAAATGCTTTGTTAACAGTTAAAGAGGTTTCTTTCTTGCAGGACTTCTCAGAGCCTTGAATATGCTCACGTGCTGAGTGAATCCACCAGGGGAGATATGGCATTACAGTGCTGCCCACATGTAACTGACCACAGAGGGCTTTCTTTCACAGAGCCTCTCCACTGGCCACTCTCCCATGGTCTACCCTTTGGAAAGCACTGCGCGGAGCTGAGACACACGAGCTACATACTGAGGAGGGGTCCCAAGGCAAGGACCATCTGGGCTTGGGGACAGTGGCTTTGGGGTTGGTCAAAGTCCTTTGAGCCAGTGCTGGGGCCTCAGTCACTCACTCAGCTCCTCAGCCACCACCTTGCTTCGCTGCATCTGGGGCCCAGGGGCATGTGAGAAGTCAATCAGGCTCCGGAGCAAGCTGTCATGGGACGGACGGTTATGAGAAGGAATGGCAAAGTTTATTGTAGGAAAACAGTTAACCCAATGCACGGGTCGACTACCTCCCCCGGAGGCCTCCCTGGCCGTAACAAATGGTGTGGCTTAAAGTTTTTAAATTGAGGAGAACTTAAGGGAAAAAACGTGGGCAGGCTCTGAGGCACTTGTAAAACCATCTGAGCTGCTGGGGGAGTCTGGGCCCCATCCCTCCAGAGATGGACGCAAGGCCGAGCAGAGGTAGGGAGGTCTGGAGACTTCAGGTCAGAGGCTGCCAGCAGGGGCTTCTGAACGAGGCTGGCCACAGGGTGAGCCGGTGGCAGCCTTCATTGGCTGCCCCAGTGCCTGCCTATACCCTGTTCTTGGCTAAGCCACAAGAGCCTATCCAGCCAGCAAGGTCGGGCAAAGGGAGCACTCCGCCCTCACTGCAGATCAGAGCCAGGCTGCAGACAGTGGGAGGACGGTGAAGGAGGGTGAGGAGCCTATACCCAGGGAAAACAACCAGGGATCTAGAATCACCCAGACTTGGGTTCAAATTCTAGCTCTGTCACTCACTAGTTGTGTGACTGGGGATGCGACAGCTCCCCAAGCCTCTTCTTCCTTATTGGTAAGATAGAACCAACAGAATCTGCATTCCACAGTGACAGCAAGGACTATAGACAGTGGTGCCTGACACAAGGGGTCCTCAATACATGCTAGTTGCCATTGTTTGGGGGGAACACATGTGAGTGGGCAACCCTACAGGGACACAGATGAAGCGGTGGACTGGGCCAAGCTGAGCCGCCGTGGAAAGATGCCTCTGCCAAGGGCAGCTGAAGACCCCATCAGCTGAGTGGCCTCTCATGCTGTGCAGCTCTGCGGGCCTCAGTGGCCTGTCTATAAACAGGGCAACCTCTCGTGGATACAGGAACCATCAGAGACATCTCAGAGGCATGTGGCCCACCACAGGAGCCCAGCCAGGGAGCTGTCATCATCATGCTCTCTACGGTGCTTGCACCCCTCTAAGCTCAGGACACGTGTTTATGCCCAGAGTGTCCACACTGTCTTGAGTGGTGGCCAGGAGATGAAAAATGTATCTTGCCAGAGCCTCATCAATATGACATCGGCTGTGACTGGGAGAACAGGGACCCTGCTGAGAACATCTCCTCGACTGTGTCCACCTGAGAACCTCACAGACATCAACAGGCCCATATCTGGAGCATGGCAAGGCTGTGCTGCCCAAGGTGAGGGCAGCTGTGCCTGCCCAGGGCCATGCCTTGTCCAGAGCAAACTAGCCCCATTCTATGCCTAGAAGTGTTTTATAAACATAAATTCTGTCATTTCTGAAAAGTGCAAAAGGGCTGGGGGTGTTTGCTGCTCACAGAAAGAGAAATGCACGGATTATGATGGACGCAGAAGCAGAGAAACAGCAAGGGGAGGCAGCAAGGTGATGGTGACTCCGTGTGCGTATTAGGGATGCTGTCTAGCAGGCTGTTCAGAGTGGGGCATGACAAAGGGCAACGCTTCTGGGCGTGAGGCTGGGCTCACCCTGCAAGGGCAATGGCCACCACCAACTGCTGATGCTGGAGAAGAACAAGGGCTACATTTGGTACAAGAGGTGCAGGGGGTGGGAGGACTGATGGCCAGGACCTTCCACAGGCTGTGATGACCTCAGTCCACTGGTAGCCTGGGATGGACACCAGGAGGTATACCCTTCCGGGGAGCTGGTTGGCCCACAGGGTCCTGAGCAGGATGAAGCCACCAATGGCCCTGGGGGATGGGACACATGCAAAGCTATTCCCACACAGGTCTCATCTCAGGCTCCCAACACCTCCAGGAGGTGAGTCTGGCAGGAAGGCCACTTTTAAGAAAGGGAAACAGAGGCCCAGGGAGGGAATGTGACTTGACCAAGTGGGCAGAACTACTGACACTAGAACACTAAATGGGTTGAGAACACGCTTCTGTGAAGGTGAGTCAAGAGGAAGCAGATCTTGGAGAACCAAAGCTACTGGACCCTGAGGACGGTGGTACCCCAATGCTTAAACCATTCAGTGGATGCCCCCGAGGTGGGGTCAGGGTGGCCCCTGCCCCTACAGAATACTCCAGAATATGCTTCAGAATTCTCTCCATTCTTTGATGTAGTTGGGCACCCCCTTTCCCTCCCAATCAACCGCCAACACTTCCCCTCCATGCCAACCTCTCAGAACCGCCCTGCTGAGCCCTTCCTTCTGGGCACTTCTCCTGACCTTGGCCAGGCCTCTATCTGCCCTATCACAAATGGTTGGGTGTAGGCACAGGGCAGCATGGTGACTCTTGAAGGGGCTGGGCCCCAAGAAGCAGGCATCCTGCCCCTACTCCAGGCCTGGCCTAGACCATCCCTATCTTGGCCCTGCCAGTCTTGGGCACTCTCTGGGGGAGGATGAGAACTGTGGATCACAGGAGATCAACAACAGCCACCAGCACAGCACTTAACAGCTCCCCCACGTGGCCTGACACAGACTTAGGGGCTCCTATTTTTGGATAATGCCTCCTGTGCTACCTGCTGTGGGGTTTGGAAAGTTCCTTACCTTTGGGGTGAGGTACTTGGTCATAATTTCCTTCCCTTTCTCTCCCAGTTTTTCATCTGGAGTAACTTCATATTCTGCCTAAAACAGAAGGAGAAAAAGAAAAATAACAGCTTTGCTCATGAGCTTCTTATGGTTACAGAACCTCACAGCCCCTGGAGGAAACCCCCTAGAGGCCACCTGACCAATTCCCTTCTCCTGCAGGGCAGGAAGCCAGGGGAAAAGACCTGGCCATGGAGCCCCAGTGTTCAGTCCAAACTACTCTGCCCTCTCCCACAGATGCTGGGTCTCAGGACGGCCGTGCTCCACACAGACCACATCAGAATCAGCAGGGAGCCCTGAGCAAACACTGATGCTAGGTCCCACACTAGACCAATGAAACCAGGCTTTCCATTGGGCCATGTGGGCTGGCACCTGGGCAGCTGGGGTTGAAGACCACTGACTTAGATGAATCAAAAGAAACTACTGGAAAAATAACAGCCCACCAGACTGGAAGGCCACCAAGAAGCTGCCTTAGGTTACTCAGACCTTGTAAGCTGTGTGATCTTAGACAATTTGCTTAACCTTTCTATAAAATGCAGATGGTACCAGCACCTAGGTATGCAGTGATTATACAGACGGAAGTGATCAAGCTCTTGGCCTGGGGCCTGGCCCATCATAAATAATAATAAAGAGTTGCTGTAGTTACCACCATTGTGATTATTATACTTTGCAAGGATAAACAATAATGTGGATGCCTGGTCTTTTCCAGCTTTTGAGTTTACAAAGTGAACACACACAGGTTTTTAAAGATGTTCTTGTCTGAACGTCGAAACAGCCAGGGCAGTGACGCAGGAGAACAGGGGCTGCCATCCCACCCCGTTGTCTGTAGGTGGAGATCCCGAAGGCCCACGGCGGGAAGGCACTTGCGTAGGGTCGTGCAGCGGGAGGTGGCAGGGCTGGGACTTGAACCTCCAAGCGCAGGGCTTCTCCTCAACCACACCACAGAATTTAGGACTCTGATAACTAGCCAAGCCAGGAGGCCCAAGCTCTAAAGATGGGAGGTCTCCAATAAACAGACTTTTTAATTTTCCTGAATCCCAGAGGGGGCTCCTTTGCTCACATCTGACGCACTTGCCACGTGGATAAAGGGCCTTGAGTCAATAAAAAGCCTGAATAAGCGTCCCTTTCTCATTTAGACAAAGGAGCTAATTACAAATTGTTTATAACCATTTCAAAATCCACCACCCAAGAATTTGTCAGCCTCTGTCCAAAAGTACAGCTATTTCAAAAGAGACAGGAAATGACACTAGCAGAGACGGACCCGAACTCCTCCCCGGGCGTCCCACCACGCAGTCAGATGTCTGTCCGGCCCTCAGGGAAACCTCACACCTCAGTGTCTAGGGTCTGAATCCTCTCAGACCAGTCAAAGGGAGCACGCAGGTAGCACTCACAGTGACCACAGAGGCAGCCAGGCTCATTTCCATCCACAGTGAGCAAGTGTCCTTGTCTTGCCCTCTCTCTTCTAATGGAGAGCCAAGATCCAGCGATTTTCTCCCATGGAGAAACACAAACACGACAATCATTTAGATCACAGGGAGATAGGGCGGTGTTTCTTTAAGGAATCCCACCCCTCATTTTATAGGGCTGGACACAGAGGCTCAGAGAAGTCAGGGACTTGCCCAAGGTCACAGCTGCCGGGCTGGTGCGCTGGCCTCTGGATTCCCACTGGGTCGCATGGTCAGAGCCTTTCTCCCCAGAGGTCAATTCCTCTTCCACATCAAGATGAGTCTTGAGGGACTGGGGATTTCTTGATGATTTGACTTGATGGATGAATTCCTGAGATGCTTTAAGGTGGCTCTTTCTTCTTGACTTTTTCCTGTTATTTTCTCCCTCTGTGCTCCCTGACGATCTCATAAACCTGAGTGTGCATGTATGCACACACACACGTGCCCACACACAGACACACAGATACACCCACACACACACGTACCCACACGCAGACACACAGATACACCCACACACACATATACCCACACACAGACACACGGATACACACACCCACACACACGTGCCCACACACACACAGATACATATACTCACACAGATACCCACACACACACATGCCCACACAGACACGTGGATACTCACAGACACCCACACCCACACACACACAGGTGCCTACCTACACACACACAGATACACCCACACACATATGTACCCACACGCAGACACACAGATACACCCGCAGACACACAGATACACCCACAGACACCCACACACCCACACACACGTACCTACACACACTCACACACTCCCATACAGACACCCACATCCACATACACATCCACACACAGAGACACATACCCACACCCCCCACACACCCACAGACACACACAGACACACAGATACCCGCACACACCCCCACACAAGACACCCACACACCAACACACACGTACCCACACACACAGATACACACACCCACACACACTCACACACCCACACACACGTGCCCACACACAGATACGCCCAGACACCCACACACCCACACCTACCCACACACAGATACCCCATACACAGACACCCACACCCACACACACTCAAACCCACACACAGACACCCCCACACACAGACCCACACACTCACAGACACACACACCCACAGATATCCACCCACACAAACACCCGCACCCCTACACACACACGTACAGACACACAGACACCCACACACAGACACACTCCCCGCATGGAGTGCTGATGCCAGGCTCACCCTACATGGCAGGGGATTATTATATCTACATGGTAGGTATTATTAGTTCCAATTTGCAGATGAAGAAACTAAGGGGTCTGAGAGGTTCCAATACAGCACAGCTAGCAAGCAACAGGGCCGCCATGGCGTCTCCAAAGGGGCTGAGCACTCTAGAGCCAGCTGCCTGCTGTTTGCCAGAATGAGAAGCACCCAGGGTCCTGCCGCCCCTGGACAGCCCGCCGTTGGTCTGGCACCATGGGAATGTAGCCAGACTGCTCTGCAGGACCCAGGCCCTGGGCAAATGGCCGGCCATCATTTGGGGTAACTCTATACCATCCAGAACACTAGATTTGCACTGTACCAAAATACATCTGTGAAGGTGGCTCTATTTAACCAAATGGAGGCCTGGGGCTCACTAATCAGCCTCAATAACCAGCTAAAAATACTCTTGCTGTGGGTACTAAAACCCGCGTTAAAAAAACAACATCCCTTTCAGGTCAGCTGCCTCCCGACAGAGGCCCTGCCGGTGGACGGGCATGCAGGTGGCAGCGGGAGCACACGGGGACAGGCCTCCTCAGCTGGGATCAAAAGGCCTTTCTCCGAAGAGTCTGTACCAGGCCACCGCTTGAAGAGCATTTGTGTTGGGAGGCGGAAAACGGATGGAAGGCCTCCAGCTGGGCTTTTCACACTGATTAAGACACCTAGTGACAGGCCATGTCTCCACAGTGACTCCCTGAGGGGAGTCCTGAGAGGCCACCTACAGAGGAAAGGTACCATGGTGGCTCCCCTGGGTGGGCCGAGCTCAAGGCAGATCACACTCCACAGGACTGGGGCCACCCCAGAAACCACAGCTCGAGGACACCCTTGCCCAGGTGGTGGGAGAAAGCTTCAACCAGCTGAAGCCAGCAAACATAAGCAGCAAGTAAGAGTTTGTGTAAACAACCCAGAATTTTACAATGAGATGTAGCTCAGGAAATAGCAGCCAGACAATGATTTCAATGAAAAGAAAGGTAAACTGTATGCAAAGAATGCCCTCATGACCTCCATCTGCAAGAGAGTCCCTTCCAACCAGAGAGGGAGATGGGCCTTGTGCCCTCTCGGAAACACAGGCCCCTCTGCTGTTCTGATCATTTAAAGCTCTCTTGGCCAGGTGCGGTGGCTCACGGCTGTAATCCCAGCACTTTGGGAGGCTGAGGCGGGTGGATCACCTGAGGTCAGGAGTTCGAGACCAGCCTGCCCAACATAGGGAAACCGTGTCTCTGCTAAAAATACAAAAAATTAGCCAAGCATGGTGGTGGGTGCCTGTAATCCCAGCTACTTGGGAGGCTGAGGCAGGAGAATTGCTTGAACTCGGGAGGCGGAGGTTGCAGTAAGCTGGGATTGCACCATTGCACTCCAGCCTGGGCAACAAGAGTGAAACTCCATCTCAAAAAAAAATAAAAAAGGCCCTCTCCCTGTCCAGAGCTCCATTCTAACAGCCAGGGTGCCAGGGAGCATCCACAACCATCCATAATCCAGATACGTGCCAGGTGCCAACGGGGAAGACACCACCGAATGAGCCTTCTCTCTGCATTGTGATTTATGCCAAACACAGAGGTGGCTTTTGTGGGGAGATGCCGCTCTAACACAAAATGCAGACTATTACATTGAGCTTAAGGAACAAAGAACTTTTGCTACATCTGTGCCTCCCAAAGAGTGGAAACATCTATGTGCATCTTAGTTTACAGCCCTAATACTTCATTCTCTTGGCCTGCCCTAATTGCATCATCAATCTCGGAATCTGCCAGAGAAAATATGTCCTGGCTATGAAGACACATTTCCTTCAGATGCTGTTTAGAACCTGCCACGTTTTCAAAGAAGTCGGCCCCGGTTTAGAAAGGGCAGTCTGGGCTGAATTCCTCTTGGCCTTGGACTAACTTTAGATGTCACCTCCTTCTCCCAGGAGACCTTCTCCTGCCCTGACAGGAAGATGAAGTCAGAGATGCCGTGAGGTCTTGCCACCTCCAGCTTCTGTAATTATCGATGTGGTCAGCTTTTCCAGAGTCCTTGAGGCAGGGACAAGTGACAGGCCTGGTCAGCACAATGTTCACCATGCACCCCGCCGGAGAAACACCAGGATCCACCCCACGGCCCCAGCTTCTCATCTGTGCTGACCACGTGGGCCGCCCCTCCAGAGCCCCTCTAGCCCTCTCCCACCCTGCTGTGGGGGTGGAGCGGTGGGGTGGTTTTCTGCTGGCTCTGTCCCCGCCTGGGCACCGCAGGCTCCTGGACCCTGTTCTCCAGGCCCAACCCCTGTGGGCAGCCTTCTCCCACGATCCCGCATCAGTCCCTTCCCTTGGCCCTGCAGGTCAGTG